ACGGCCGTCTGGTGTAGTGGTAAGTGACATGGTCACTACATATGGGGATCGCGGGTTCGAATCCCGCCAAGGGAAGATATTGATATATGATATAATAGTATGATAAATATAAAAATGTCTTTTCCGGGGTTATGGATGTATATTAAATATGTGTATAATAAAAATCTTACATTTATTTCCGTTATCTGGTACCTGTAACACAAGTTCTTTACGAACTTAGTACGAGATTATTATTCCGATCTTATTCAGTCGAACAATGATACTCGCTCGCTGGAAGAACATGCCCTTTCCATATAATCCAAAGTACCCAGCAGTGCGGGATCACAACGAGTATTTTTTTTTTTTTTTTATGATTGAAAGATTACTGGTGGCCCGGAGGCCTTTCCAGTTTCACCAGGACACGTGGGCGAGCAAAGGCTCAGCCAGGAGAGGTGGGATTTGCTAACAGCTACCCGAGCGCCTCCGAAGGAGACCTAACAGCTCAAGAGTAGCTGCTTCGCGAATGAATCTACTACCGGATCGGAATCGCGACCCGCTGAGAAGATCCGGCGAGAAACTCAGCGGGCTGATGCATGGGTTAGGTTGCACGTCGACCTCTTTGTCGAGTTCGACGAGTACGGTTACCGGGGTCCCTAAGCCTGCCCCTAGTATTAGAGCTGAAGGCATCTAATGCAAAGGTTATTGGATCTGATGGATCCGTAAGGACGTGTCTAGGGCGTCGACGGTGACTGGCTCCTGCATGATCAGGATTCGGGGAGTAGTCAGCGGCGGCAACGATAAGGCGATTATCATGACGCATAGCCTTATCGAAGTATCGTTCCGACGCTGACTTCATGTATTTCCGAATTGATTCGAGGCCCAGGTCGTCGTGTAGGTCAACGTTCCTCACGAACCACGGAGCCCCGACAGCTAACCTGCAAAAGCGGGATTGTAGGGATTGGAGGGTGTCTATGTGTGTGCGGGCCGCGTGAGCGAACACCACACTCGCGTAAGTCATGACGGGCCTTATGCAAGTTTTGTAAAGTGTCACCTTGTTCCGAAGGGACATTTTACTCCGCTTACAGATCATGGGGTAGAGTCTACCGAGAATAAACGCGGCACGGTCACGGACTGATTTTATATGCGGGCGGAATGTCATCGATGCATCCAGGGTAACGCCCAGGTACTTGACCTTCCTGGCCCAGGGTATGGATTGACTAAAGAGAGTAATCGGGGGTGTGAGATTCCTCCTCCTAATACGGGAGGAAATCCGTGTGGAGCTTCCCCTCTGAAATAGCACCGCAGTACTTTTCGCTGGGTTGATGTCTATGCGCCATTTTCGGAACCACTGTCCTAGGGCTAGGGCTGCGCTCTGAAGCTTCTTCGCGATTAGGGACTTGTTTCTACTGGAATAGTAAACAGTCGTATCGTCGGCGAATAAAGCTAAATGGGTCGGCGGCGACCGGGGAATATCGTTAACGAATAAGCTAAATAGGAGGGGTGATCACAACGAGTCAAAGTACACCCTACCACAAGTACCGGCTGTTTGCTGGTCGCAGTATGTTTGTATAATACCCAGAGTTCGTTGCTGCCTGTTCTCCGGCAAATCCCTTAACTTCTCTGTACACAAACCCTAACCTTTCCAATAAAACTGCTTTATTCGTTTAGACCACGTTTCACACCACATACATTAAGTGCACAAGCTACTTGAAACTGAGACTTAGAACTCGCGTCTCAAGGTGAGTGCCAGCATTTATAATACGGTGTAGATGGCTATGGGCTCCGGTAACCACTTGACATCAGGAAGATTGTGATCCATCTGTCCAAGCAGTAAAAAGGGTGCGTGTACTTATGTACGCGCGTAAGAAGTTATACTTTATTTTTATTAAATTTATTTCTAATTTTTTTTATTTATATTTTAATCTATTTGAAAAAAAATCGATTAAACATCCTCAAACACGCATATCGGACATCCCTTTCTTGACGTCGTATAAATTCGGTAATTCTCGGTACGGTTCGGAAAGTTCACCTGCGGCTATATTCAGACTCGCCAAGTTACGTCGGTCGTATTGCAATGAGCGACTTAGTGGGCAACTTCATTCTGTTAATTTTGTGTCACGGTGCGCGCGCATCGTAAAATTTCACTCTCATCAATTTTTCATAACGCGCCTAAAGAAGTATAACTTCAAAAAGGTACAAATAGTGGCGAACACGTGATGGAAAATTAATGACAATTTAGTTAAATTGAAAATTAATTAAAAACTCACATACGTTAAAACCAAGGAAACACACTAAAAGAATGTCCAGTCAATGTTTAATTGAAACACATTATTCTGTTATTGCGAATAACGTCTTCGGTAACGTAAAAAAAACTTTAGACGAAATAGTTTGGTATTAAAGTTGAATTTCGTTTGTCGCTGATTGCGTACGAACTATTCATGTGTTTTTTGCGCGATGCACAAAAGGAATGTTGTTCAACGTTGTTACATTCGAGTGTGCTGCAAAAAGCGATCATGAACAACCTCAGCCCGGTCCGGAGTATCCAATTCAACTTAATTAATATGTCGTTACGTTCGGCCGATACACATCGATGCGACGGAACACACTTCGTCAAGTGCCTTGTAGGTAAATACTTTAATATGTTCCTATATTTTTAGCAATTTTATTTGTGTTAAATGACAATGTCTTAGCCAAGCAGGCCTTCATAGGCACTTTTATGTTTCCTTGGATACCACCGATTCGAAATGCAGATTAACTACTGCGATGAAACGGCAAGAAACTCAGGGTTTGGTGTTCGTTTCCATAAAAAAATACGAAGTATTTCAAATCAATCCATAGTTTAATAAGGATGACTAGTGAGTATTAGATGAATCTGGTTTCCACTTTGGGTAGTGCTCAGGGAAAACTGAACAAATTAAAAACTACAAAAATGTTACCTAGTAGTGGCTCAACTGGCATTGTTCAAGTCTATGATGACCATCGGTGACCAGAGACAATCAAATAGGCAATAAAAAAACTGTTACCTACTTTAATGATTCACAGGAAATAATCACGTAACGGAATTTCCTCATTAGAATCCTCTAATTAGCCTTTTTTTTATGATTAACGGAATTATTTAACAATAGTGTTGCGTCATATAGGTAGGTAGGTAGGTACCAGGCGTCCAGAACTGAGAAGACGTTGCGGTACATTTCGCGCTTCATTCAAGCATTTTGAATCAAACTTTTATCGCAATGTCTACTAAAATTTTAATAAACTCGTGACGACATGTTTTTACTATTAACATAAAATTCAGTGTTACATTGAACTATAATCATAATAAACAAATTAATATCTAACAATGAAGGCACATACTCAATCACAAAGCAATAATTACCCACTCATATTTCTAGTCTTCAAATAATATTCATTGCATTGTTTGAGGAACATCATAGAACATTTATATATCTTACATAGTATACGTTGCGGCCGCCACATTCAATTCATGAAAAGATCAATAAATTGCTTACAAAAACCATTCGAAATCGTAACGTTCAGTGCATGCAACGTATCTAAAGGAAATCAGTGAAAACATCAAGCAATGCGGTTCATTAGCGTGCCAGCTGTCACCAGGTGGCTTCATGATCTATTACTGTTGCTCACAGCACTGAGCACGCTACTGATCGAACCGACTGCGCTGGCTCCTCCTTCACGTTTATATTTAGTTGCTGTTATTTCGTTTAACTTAATCCTAAAGCAACTGGCGCGCCGTTTGCTGTAGCGTAGACGGATCGCTCACCTGTAAGCGCTTGTGAGCATTCGAAATGTTTATTTTGGAAAAAAATCTTTCCAGCGAGGTCCGTGAACGCGTTTATCATTTAAACCACTATCAGCATGATTCCACAACTTAAAACTGCTGATCCTTGGTCATGTAGTTATCATACACGCAGCACCACCTCCCTGCCTATTTCTGCCGCGAGTAAATCAGACGTACCCGATTCAAATTGCTATTCTTTACTGTGATATCGACCTCGTCTCTCAAGGTGGACAGCGACAGTTAGTTGTGTTTTATATCTTTTGATCGGGTAACCTTCCCCGACCCGCTGACAGCCAAAGATTTAAGCTAAGTAAGTAGGCATGCAAAACGACCCATCAATGGGAAATAAAAAATACCTTCTTACAAAGAGGACCCAAAGGGCGACACGACAAATTTTCAAAAATATAGACTGTCCTTCGATCCATTAACGGTGCTTCTAGGTACCACAAGCACCAGTCACCGTCCTCGTCGAACCCGTCGCTTGCGACGAAGGGCTCCTCGAGTGAATTAACCCATAGACATAACCCACTGAGTTTCTAGCCGGATCTTCCCATTGGGTCGCATTTCCGATCCGGTGGTAGATTCTGCGAAGCACTGCTCTTGCTAGGGCCAGTATTAGCAACACTCCCGGTTTGAGTCCCATGAGCTCACCTACACGTCTAGGAGAAGCTAAAATAACCTCTCAAGGCTATCAGCATAATAGGGAAAAAAAACTGTCCATGATCTGTTCATGTTTCTTCCTGCGGAACTGGAACCCTTTAGTACCGACGGACAATGGAGTTTTAGTGAAAATTCAAGATTGGTTTGCACCACCCCGTCGTTTAAAGCAAGTGGTGTCCATCGATTTTGCTCACAAAAAAGCTCGAATAACACTAAAATGTTTGTCAACTACTGACATGACAATAACATTGTAAACAAAAAAATGTGGTATTTTATTAACAATAAATGTTTCAACTTCCGCATGATCCAGTAAAACAAGGGCTTCGTAGAACTTTTACAGGCACTACCTGAGTGTTATTACCTGTCCTTCCCGTTTGTTCGAAACAAAAACAAATAAATAGTACCTACACGAATGGCAACGTACCTGCAACGTTATTGATACAGAGTACATACACTTCGCATTTCATAAGACGATTACCATGAAAATTGAGTGAAAACAATTAAAAATTAATTGCCCGTTAAAAACAGAGCTCACCTACCGTCTTCAAAAAAAGTAAAAACTCACCTACATTTACAGTAACGTCGGCAGTGCTCCCCTCGCACTTCAATGCACTATAATCACAGAACTCTCACTCACCGAAATTAATTAAAAATATATTTAAACGAACACGCCAAAATCCCGTGAATTTCTCGCGTAAGCACGTCGCACACGACCACGCCGTGCGGCAGCTGCGTGCGTTATGGCAGCAGTAGGATTGGTTACATGCAGCAACGGTTTGGTGGCTTTTATTGTGTCTATGCAAACTAGCAGTTAGCTGCAGACGTTGCAGTCAATGAGAATACGAATACTACCTGTGAGCTGCTGTCAGTATGCCCCGGTCACCATCCTCGTCGAACCCGTTGTTTGCGACGAAGGGCTCGACGAGCAATTTAACCCATAGACACAGCCAACTGAGTTTCTCGCCGAATCTTCTCAGTGGGTTGCGTTTCCGATCCGGTGGTAGATTCTGCGAAGCACTGCTCTTGTTAGGGTCAGTGTTAGCAACTCTCCGGTTTGAGCCCCGTGAGCTCATCTACACGTGATATAGCCTCTCAAAGCTATCAGCATAGGTAGGGAAAAAAAACTACGCGAGGACTGCAATCAGTATGCCGCATGCACTGGCACCATCAGCACCAGCCATATTCGCAAAACATAAAATGTAATAAATTAGCCGATCGTAAACATCCAGTTTTCAGCTCTACCCAACGCGACAGTTTAGGCTTTATATCTTAATGTGAGTCACTCACTTCGCTTTTACTTACGAGCAATGGTAACCACTAAACACCAGGTGGGTCGTGAGCTCATACACCTATCAACAATAAAAAATAATCTTAGGCTATAGGTGGCAATAATAACATAATGACTACCAATTACTGAATTAATTATATTCACTCGTTCATAAAAAAACATTTAGTGGGTGGAAGTAATGAATAAGCCGTGTGATCTTAAAGGACTGCCTATTGATTTTGGATTCAAAGAAGACGACGGTGATGTTGATTTAATATGTAAAGCTTGATTAGACGTCTCCTATCCTGAATTTAAGTTTGTAGTATCCAAATCAAAATTCTGTTGTAAATGTAATATTACTTTATAATAACATTAATCATCAACGATACTCTCCGTAGATAAATATACCTGATTCAGACACCTGTTATCTCGGAGCCCACATTATTTATGCATATGTATTTGCTCTCTGGTTCTACAGTGAGCGACACTTGGCTATTTAATCATTATTTAAACATTAAAATTCGTCATCCAATCCATAATCCTCTTCAGTTGTCTTCAACATTCTATTGTATGGATTAGTTCACGATTTAATCTAACAAATTCATATTTCCTACAACGCTATATAAACATGTATGTATATTGAATAAATCCCAGTAGGTACGGTACAATCCTGAAAGTAGGATGGAGAGTTGCACGTCGTCAACCATTGTCTCATTACACAGTTTTGAGAACAAATTCATGAAGATGCTATGTGTAATCTGTATAATGAAAGTGAAAACAATACTCGCATACACTTTTACGGTTCATTATGTTTTGAAACATGTAATTTCTTTTAAGTTTTGCAACGGAGCCTGAGAACGTTTACATAAAATACAATGTTTTAAATTAAAAGTGAAAATCTTCTAGGTTTAATTTATATATTTCCGAAATCAAAAAGGAATCTTGGAAATAATGTACCTGTAGATATCCCCGGATATAACCGATACCTGTAGATTCCATATCGCCTGTTTCGCAACGTTACGTCAAAGCGTCAGAGAAGAAGGCTGAGGTGCGTGTGGGGTCACAACACGTCGTACCGTCAGTAGGTAGTTAATATATAAATCAAGGCAAAGGCTTCTTTACCTATTCCAGCCACACAACTGTCGGCAACTCCACTTGGAAGAGTAGGCTAGCCTTTATATATAAAATACATCGACCTCACAGCTTAAGACGGTGACAAAATTGACGTTACGGTAGCCACCCAACGCCCAGTAGGCCACAAAATCCTCGGTTCGCTTCGCTAAAGATATACCCGCATCTTCTGATAGACGGTCGGGCGAAACCGTGATGCTTTATCTAATTAAAGAAGAAGAAAGAAGCTATAAATAATTTCAAGAGCTACTCACAGCCAATGTACCTACTGCAAGAGATATTGGTCATTTTGAATGCCGTGCGTGACCCCACAAAGCCACGAGCGATTATTTAAAAAAGGAATATAGCGGCGTCTTTGTGCCTCAGTCGGATGGAATCAAGGGCGTGCCGCTGGGCTGAGATCTATTGATATGCTTTTGCCCACAAAATATTGCTTTAAAATGCCCGATGCTTAATATGGTATATTTATAAAATTATTTTAAATAAGGTAAAAATTGTAAATTTAAAATCCAAATGGCTATGAGTCAAATAGCTGACTAGGTGAGAGGCCCGTCTCCGCAGGGGGTGATGTTTTAATTTTTTTTTATTGCCTAGATGTTTGGACGAGCTCACAGCCCACCTGGTGTTAAGTGGTTACTGGAACCCATAGACATCTACAACGTAAATGCGTCACACACCGTGATATATAAGTTCTAAGGTCTCAGTATAGTTACAACGGCTGCCCCACCCTTCAAACCGAAACGCATTACTGCTTCACGGCAGAAATAGGCGGGGCGGTGGTACCTACCCGTGCGGACTCACAATAGGTCCTACCACCAGCGTGCTCTCAAAGGACTTGTACGGAGTTCTTGCATGTTTGCTGGCAACGCCACTCCAAAAATCATAGCGCGGTCTTATAGCTTGAGATATTCGAGGATACAGCGCCGTCTCATTTGAGGCAACATGCGTTGTTGGCGGACAAGCTGCCCTGAAGTCCGAAGCACTCGCTACTAATTTCCAGTTGCGAAAGCAAGCAAAAGGACGTGAACAAAACGCTCTTCTCCCTCCGCGCTGACTTGACGCTGTTGAGCTGGAGGCCGGAAAAGATGTCTCACCCGCAATCTGGGCCTCTCTGTGCTTCGGATTCCCCTCGTATGGCAGACCGACACGGCTTGTTGAGCGATCGGCAGTTTTATTAAGTTCAACTCTGGTATACCCCGCCTACCACTCCAACACGTCAGCAGAAAACCGACGAATAATTTATGAATCAAATAGTAGTGTATCTCATAATGTTACAATTATTTGCTCACCAGACATTACTATATCGTCTTAAAGAACCCTACGATCTTCACTGATCATTTTGAATACGGTAAAATAAAATGAAGACATCAATTGTAACAATAGCAAAACAGAAAAAAAAGTATTTCAAATAAAAATGTGATAATTCATTTCAGCAAAAACTTGGAATTTGGCAGAAACGAAGTTAGCCGGAGAGGATAGATACCCATGTCAATAAGTTATAATACAAAGTAAAATTCCACATCTTGAAATCGGAGAGTGAATTTCAAAAGAACTCAACGTGATGCTCTAACCGAAGATAAATCTCCAGCTTCATTATAAGATTGATTGAATATCTACCTATGACAAAAAGCTGCCTTAAAAACTATATTTACATGTGTGGAAAAAGACTGTAATACGTGAATCAGAGAGAAAATCTCATACACAAAAAATCTCAGTAAAACTGAGGTTCTTTTTATCTTCCCAGCCCAGAAGAGTGTACTGAACACTTCTTTTTTACTGCCTAGATGGGTAAACAAGCTCAAGGCCCACCTGGTGTTAGTTACCGAAGCCCAAAGGCATCAACAACGTAAATGCCGCCACTCATCTTGAGACATGATTTCTAAAGTTTCAATTTTTACAATACAACGTCTGCCCCACACTTCAAGCTGAAACGCATTACTGCTTCGCGGCAAAAATAAACAAAGTGGTGGTACCTACCCGTTCGAGCTCATTAACACCATTTGCACCTAAAGGTAAATTGTTACCATTGCTCTTGATCATCAGCAAGACTAATGGTGTAGCCGGGCGCTCTCTATCGCTGAGGGCTTTTCAAAGGGGACGGCCCATTTCAGGCCCAAAGCGGACAATAGATTAGAGAAAAAATACTTAGTGCATTAATTTTGTCATAAATAAATATGCATTTACTTTCTTCCAAATAAGCGCCACTACAGTTTACAATAAGTAGTTTAAAAAAAGTAACTCTATTGAAAAAAACAAGAATTTTATTTTTGCGGGAAAAATATTGCCAACTTCAAAACCTTTTACGTATTAAGTAAACATTTTAAGTATATAAAAAAACATATAAATAAATCATTTTAAATATTATCATTAATCAATCGATTTTAATCGATTTTAAGCACATAAAATAACATCAAAGACATACCCATTGGACTTTAACTTGTTACTATACTTGAGACCTTAGAACTTATATCTCAAGGTGGGTGGCGCATTTACGTTGTGGATGTTTGTGGGCTCCAGTAACCACTTAACACCAGGGTGGCTGTGAGATCGTCCACCCATCTAAGCAATAAAAAAAAACTTAACTTGTATTGTTATTTAAATATGTACAACTAAAACAAAAACATAAAAAATAAAATATAATGTGTACTCGTAAAAAAAAGATTAAGAAATAAATCCAATATCGGTTATTTAAAAAAATGATCGATATATGAATTTCATGTAATTATTTTTCTTTATACTGACAACACTGATTTTAATCTGACTGACTGACACTTCGCTTGCTGCTTGTGCTTGCGTTCAAAATGGATGTGTTTTGATTTTTCTTCGATTTATTTTGCTTTTATCAATAACGTTTCATACTACGGCTGAAAACCATTGTGTGAATTGTGGTTTTAACCTGACCGAGATTTAAAACCGTGTATATGCTCTCCTGTGCTATTTTTAGATGATTTACTAATTGTGTATGAAGATGAAGAAAATATAGAATAATATAGATATTTAAAGAAGTATGTGTGTTTTTTATACCCTAATAACTACAATTGGATAAAAATACATTAGGAACATCTTAAACATTAAAAAAAGAAAAGTTCTTGAGGTATTTATATAGAAAATTAACCTCAAAACGAGTTTTTTATTTTTATTATATTTTTTATAATAGTGGCGTCAATTTCAATATATTTTTTAGATATCTAATACATTTAAGAATTTGAATCAGTCCATTTTTATAGTAATATTTAATGTCCACCTTGGGCCTAGCACACTATGGAGAGTGGGCATTCCCCTTTAGTTTGGGAAAGAACATGTCACGCATGAAGTAAATCAGAAATTGTGTCAGATAGTATCACTTCGTTTACTGACTTACTTATACATGTTATAATCTAGAAAGTAGTGACAAAACCAATTCCTGGTAACATTCAGGAATGTCTGGAATGAGTCCCTTTCGAGCAGGTGCAAGGAGTGGCGCTCGCCTGTTGGGTGCGCCAACATGCCGCAGAGCACATAACTATAGTGTACAGTAATATCGTTGATGTGAAAGCGAATTAAACGTTTATTGCTTTTTACTAACTTATACGGATATAAATTACACCGTTTTATTACTTACCCTACCTCGCGACTGATTTAGAGCTTTAATTTTTAAGATAAAGACGTCCTGTTACTGTCGCTAGTTGAGGTCGCAATCAAGATTCCACATTTATTAACATAACTCATTATTAGCAGGCCGTAAAGTCAGTTCACTCGAGTAGGTGACACTATTCTATCTTTTTCTACCGCGAAGCATCTCGTGATCCAATCAGAAAGGTAGGAAAGTCATCACACATCGAGTGGAACGATGGCATTCACAACCACCATAGTTCCAACTTCATACCAAGTGGGTGTCGAGCTCACTTGGCTGTCTGAATAACTATAAAAAAGGAAGATACTTTGTAGCAGCTTTCTGCCATGTAGTTATCCGTTATACGATAACAAAGATTCTTGCAAATCATAATAAAGTGATCAGATTAGGCCCACGCGCCGCCCCCATACCTGCTCCACGGCGTCGACGCGTCGATAATTACTGTTTAATTACATAAATGACTTGCAATGACCACAACCATCCGTCACAATACTCCCACAGTAAGACAGCTACAATGTACTCTCACACCGATGACTTGCTCCTATATATTGCTTAGTAAAATTACTTACTAGACCCAAAAGGTGAGACTTGTGTTTTGTAGAAATGGATAGTTGTGGTTTTTTTCTGAGATTTATAGGTTCACGAAAATACAAAAAACCTATTTTACTATTTTTGTGGTTAATGGCAACTTAGTACGCTATTATTTCGAAGATTTTTCGGTTTTGAAGGACGGGTATTCCGCAATAAAATTAGCATCACAACCATCAGGTGCTCACGACTCACATCAGGCGCATCGTTGAGAGAAAAAAAAACTGGGCTTCATCTTGAAGATCACTTATTAAGGGTAATTGATTAATTTTTTTTGTGAAAAATATTTTCATTATGACCGTAAACGGCATGTAACTAACTGCTCTTAAGATTGTTTCTACCGCCGCTACGGAAAGGTAAAAAAAAATCTGAATTTGAAAGGAAAACACTAAGCAATAACCACTCAGCTTTCTCAAAAAGAAAATGTAAGGAACTAGTCTAGAACACGGTCAAGTGTCAGGCGGGATTCTGTTGACTGAAGCGTTGGGGAGTGCTGATACGGCCGGATCGAGACCGGGCCACCGGGTCGCTTGTGTAAATGAAGTATGAAAGAGATTTTATCTACGTCTTAAAAATGTAAGTAAATATTAAAACGCTTTTGATTATGTTCCACTTAAATGTCTCAACCCGTGGTGTTATTAACCCGTGGGGACACCTCACGCTACTCAGGAGTACGGGTATGCAACCCGTATCTGCTGATATGTAGCTGGATTCATAAGATCCTGCGATTATAACACTTGGGCACTTGGGCGTTGATTGAACATTAAACTGAACCAAGAGCTCTTCTGCCGAACTTGGTGAAAAAAATAACATAATAAAAACTTAAATGTAAATCTATACTTATTTTAATATTATAAAGCTGAAGAGTTTGCTTGAACGCGCTAATCTCAGGAACTAATAGTTCGATTTGAAAATCTCTTTCAGTGTTAGATAGCCCATTTATTGAGGAAGGCTATTTAACATCACGCCAACATCAGACCAATACAAGCGGAGCACCAAGAAATATTGTTACAAAATCGAGGGTTTTTTCCCTTTTGAGAGCTTCCGCGGCGTGCGCTGCAGAAACGATTAAAGTTCGCTAAAATAATGTATGACAGAATTGTTCCCCTTTAAAAGATCTAAAAACAAGTCCGCGACCGCATATGTCTATATGTTAAGGTTGGCTCACTATAACGTTTTTTTATGCTAACCAAAGTTCTAAAATAAAGCATTATTTGTGAACTATTCCATGCGGACGAAGTCGCGGATATAAGCTAGTAATATTATATCCACATCGCACATTTACATCCTTACATTGACCTCGTCAACTAAGTATTTACAATAAATTCAAAAACTAATATAATAACTATTAATACCATTATTAGAAGAGTGGTCGAACAATATGCCACTCATGCTTTCATATCGTGCATACAAATTCGAGTGCTAGCGTTAACCAATAAACGGGAGCAGCCCTGCATTGCGGATACCGGGAACACTGCGACGATCTCACACAAATTACTGCAGCTTTCCTGCTCGCTACTGCATTGAATTTCCAAGAGTAAAAGGCGTGCAAATTGCCGTCTACGATTGAATACAAACGAAATTCAACCATTTATTGAATTGTCGACGGCGCGGCAGTGTAAATTTTATTATTACCAATGTGCGTATTTACGAAATTATAGTTTTCATTTTATTATACAAACTTATTCCTTAACTGTGGAGTCGTTAAATTGCAATCGTATCACAAAACTCAATACACCAGGCGTGAACTTATCCTTTATCGCTCAAAGACATCTAACCATTACAACACGTCTATATCACTACACCAACACAGGAAACTGTCTTCAAGAATGAACCACGAGGAAGAATTTTATTTTGCTTTCATAAACAGTATACAGACGGATTTTTAATCGGATTGTGATGTTTGGTGAAAATTCGACTCCACTAATACGAATCACAATTGAAGAATGCAATGCTACAACCCAAATGTCAGAACCTACAGCAACCTTTACAAAAGTATGTTGCGATCAATGCTTGGTGGTTGCTACAGCCCTAAACACGTCATTACGGATCCTCCCGATCCATTAACGGTGCTTTTAGGTATCTCAAGCACCGGTCACCGTCGCCAGATGTTCTCAGTGGGTCGCGTTTCCGATCTGGTGGTAGATTCTGCAAAGCACTACTCTTGCTAGGGCCAGTGTTAGCAACACCTCCAGTTTGAGCCCCGTGAGCTCACCTACTAGCCCGGTTACGCTGACATAGCCTCTCAAGGCATTATGGACAACTTTCTTTTCTATTTACTAGACATTATCTATATTTTTAAAATGATTGATAAGGATTAAGCATTGATTAAAGATAAATATAATATAAAAATAAATATAAAGTGGTACGTAAGGCGCAGAACCGAACCGAGTGGAGAAGATTGACATACAGTCACGATCCTCAGAATTGAGGGAACAACCAGAAGAAGAAGAAAGATAAATAATCAATAGACACTTCTACTGTTACCACTTTAACAATAACCGTGGAGGCCGAAGTTACGATTTCGTCTTGTGTAGGTATTAAATTTTAAATGGTCGCGCATGAATTATGGCATGAACGAAATTGAAACGCATGACATTTGACATATTATTAGGTCCAGACAGTGACAGATTTACAACATATGTGATAAACCAACTGTCATCCGTCATTATTTCCCATCACTCATCACAGTCAATCACAGTTTGAACGCCGCGAAAATATACGAGACCTAAAAATTTCCACGGAAACTCACAAATATTCCATAATNGCGCATGAACTATGGCATGAACGAAATTGAAACGCATGACATTTGACATATTATTAGGTCCAGACAGTGACAGATTTACAACATATGTGATAAACCAACTGTCATCCGTCATTATTTCCCATCACTCATCACAGTCAATCACAGTTTGAACGCCGCGAAAATATACGAGACCTAAAAATTTCCACGGAAACTCACAAATATTCCATAATTTAATGTCCTAACGAAAAATCGAAATGTTCGCAAAACCGTATAAGTTGAAATCCAATAACACGTTAAAGAATTCAGAAAAGTACAATACACCATTATTCCCTTTGCAAAATACTAAATTTTAAACAAAGCTTGTAAATAAATATTCTTAATGTACTTCTTTTTTATTTCTATTTTAGGAAACAGTTAGCGCAAAGGATCATTCATGAGTTTCCGACAATAACTGAAGAGAAAGTGAAGCAGCTGGTACCCGCCAAATCGATAGGCATTTGCATGAAATTGGTGTTGTCCTCTGGAGACATTGTAAATGTGTACGTGATGGACGGGGTGCCAATTATAATGGAAGTAGCAGAAGGGTTGGTCCCGACGGTGTGCGCGCTCTGGCAAGCTCCTGAGATGGTCCCACATATCATTATACATACACCGGTCTTTCCAAAGGTAAATTGAAAAATAATACACATATTTTAAAAGCTGCTTTAAACTGAATTAATTTTCCAGGTCCAAGGTGGAGCTCCTCTATACCTCCCAGGAGTAGAACTACCAGCAGGAGGTACAGGTTTCCCACAGTTTTGTAAAGGTGAATTAATTGCAGCACATACTAGTAATAATTCTGCCACAGTTATTGTTGGTCGAGCTATTCTTTCCAGCGGAGACATGCTACTGAGAACTGCGTAAGTTACTCTGACATTGACTGACTATATCGCTAAATAAACTATATAGTAATGAAAATTAACAAATCAAGTTAAATTGTATTTAATTGTTTTTCTTTAGTAATCTCTTCTAATCAGATATTTGTTAGGTGTTTATATGATATTCTGTTAGTCTAAACCTTATAATTCATTCATTTAATTAATATTTTGCTTTTTTATTTTAATTATAACTATTTGCATTATCATTGGTACATAATATAATTGACCTGACATTTGTCATGTATTTTAATGTGTCCATTTACAAATATTTAAAAGTAGTGCTCGCTTTGTTGGTTCTACTATTCAAATTATCAAAATTATAAAATGATGGTATTGTAATTCTGGACCCTGGTAAACACTAGACATTAAGAGTTCTTCTAGGTAGTCTGCCTACTATGCTACTATTATATACACATAAATTTAACCTTACATCGCTGTCAATGTGTGGGAATGATCACTATCATTAAGAGGAGTGAAATGCTATTTAGTTTAAGCGACAATTATGAAAGTTTACAGGAGAGCCATTTAAAGTTTAAAATTTGCAAAAAAGGACATAACAAAAAATCATCTTTAGCTATTAGCATGAAATAAACTTAATTGAAGTTCAATTAAAAACATTGAACTGTTGATGCTAATACCAAATAAAACACACCTTTAATTACAAAGATAATTGTCGCATATTAAGCAAAAGGACACTAAAATCATCTCATTGATATGATAAATTGATGCATCTACAACAACAACACAACTACACCAAATTCACTTCTTGTTTTCTAGTGGAGTATGCATGGAGACACTTCATGTATTTGGGGATCATTTAAGCAAAGATATAAAATTTGGTAAACTTGAACGTCCGAAGCTTGGACCTCCTGCATATGGTGGTGGCAATGCAGCTCAAAACTTGGCCAACAATATACAGAAGGTGATTGTAAAAGTACTGTAAATTTGTAACAAATGAAGTAAATATATTACACTGAATTCATCGTGATCTAAAGGATAAGACTCATGATGACTCAATACAAGTGGCTATTCAAGTACACTGATTGCTCAAATTCCACAGGCAAGTAACAACTTTTCTATTGAAATAGAATGAATTTTCTTATGAAATATAATGTACATAAGCTCACTTTCACAATGAAGGAATAAGATTGCATTATAAAAATGAAACATGCGAAATGGTATAATTTGCATAATTAATGTATAAGTGACACCAAAACAAAGGTACCCTAAAGCTCAAGAAGGGTAGCAATATTAGACACAGCTAGGTTTAATTTGTTTGTAGTAATTTAGATGTTTTAAAATGTGGTTTCATATATCTGTTTTTGTATTGCTTAGATAGGTGGACAAGCTCATAGCCCACGTGGTATTAAGTGGTTACTGAAGCCCACAGACATCTACAACGTAAATGCCGTGCCACCCAACTTGAGAAATGAGTTTTAATGTCTCCATTTTTTACAGTACAACAGCTTCTCCACCCTTCAAACCCTAACACATTACGGACATGCTTCATAACAGAAATAGGCAGGGTGGTGGTACCTACCCGTGCGGATTCACAAGACATCCTAATTTTGCCGATTTGGTTTTAATTACATCTTATTTCTTTACTGTGGAACTCAATCGTGAAAGTTTGTTAAGTATGTATTTAATTTAAAGAATAGGTACCTGCCTGCAGGATATGATAGGAATGCACTAGGTATATCATCCTGTAGGCCATGAAAACTTCAAATCAAACTTTATCAATTGTCAGTTAAGCATACAACCAGCTGTAAAGGAGGAATGGCCTGCACTCGGCCAGCCGCCTGCTCCTGTACCGAACGAACCACAACTGATACCTGAACCACCGAACCCAGTAGTTGATGCACTTACCCAATTAGAGGATGGAAACTGTTTAGCCAGTAAGCTTAATCACATCAGTTATTAAAATTGTTATTTAATTTATTAAATGTCTTGCCTTAAATTTGCAGGGCTGGACTAGCAACTGCCCAAGAGTTGGCATTTTCTGTGTCCTCCCTTTCTTCCACTCCTCATCACCAAACACAGTTGCATCAGCCCTGTAATGTGTTAGGAGATTAAGAGTCTATGGGTCAATGATAGGCTGTCAGTCACCCTTACAAAGTTTGTGATGTATAGTTTCCACTTCCTCCAGCTCTGGATATCCGGCTTCGTCTCCTGTCCCCAGCGTGTAGGTGGATGAACATTGATTTCTTCATGAACTAAAAAAGTAGTTTGTAAAAAGTGTAATACAAAATAACACTCCATTAAAAAGACTACATAAAAGTTGACATAGAAGAAAACTATATATATAAATAATGAATTGAATATATATTTTTGCGTTAATATAATTACACTCAATATCTGGTTAGCATTAAAGTTCAAAATGTGTTGTTTCGTGTTGGTCGACCCACAGCGTCTCCTCGGTCAATCTTTTTAAGTGTGATTTCAAACATCCACTTAACATTATATTTTAATTTCATTCCAGTAGATTCCGATGAGGAAGATAATGTGCCTACCGACATGGACGGGTTGCTGAGGTGGTGCATGCTGTCCTTCCTCAAGCTCGAAGGCAACAAGGTTGAACTGCCGCTCAAAACCAACCTGCTCTACAGGTACGTGCACAGAGGGCTCGCACGCCACACAATCTGCTGCAGACTTACTGAGTCTGCCTTAGTGGGGTCTGAACCTTAAACCATAGTAAAAGTAAAGATGGCATCATTTCGACTTTGGATAAATATTTAGTTTTATGATTTTTCAACAGAAATATCAACCTGTACCGGTGTCTCGGTTATTAAAGATTATATTCTTCGTGTTGCAGAAATCATCTGATGGCTCTGTGCCCGGCGGAGCGGACGCTGGACGTCAAAAAGTCATCCTTTAAGAAAATGGGGAAGTTTTTAGAGGCCATGGAAAAGGTAGTTTGTACATTTTGTAGGAGTCGCGTGTCAGCAGCTGGCGACGCGCCCCTGCGTCACGTCTGCGAGCTAACACTGCGGCCTGTTCCAAGGAAGGCCTGGTCCGAGTCTGCGAGTTGGAGAAGGGCGTGGACGCCGTCGTGCAGCTGTCCCCCTCCCACCCCGCCGTGCGCGCGCACCCGCCCCCCCGCGCGCCCGCCCGCCCCGCCCCCCGCGCCGGCCCCGCGCCCCCCGCCCCCCCGCGGCTCCGCGAGGTGCAGTGCGTGACGGCGGCCGTGGCGCCGCTGTTCGCCCCCCTCAAGTACTGTACAACTGAATCAGTGAATAAGTTTCGAAAAATCAAATTGATAACTTTGAATTTTTAGGAAATATTTTCTTCTATTTCAACTTTACAACTATTTTCTGGGACACTCTGTGCACTCCCGTACCACCGGGACACACTCACCGGGACGACTTTATTATAATATCCATCCCCTGTCGGGCAGGATAATGATAGACATTTGTATTACGAAGAAGGGCCTATTGTCGTAGCGCCGCAATTCCTGCAGCCTTCCGCGAGTTTAGGGATTCTGGGGGTCGACGTCACGAGGTGTTCAGTATCGGAGTCATTTGGAAGATAAAGCCGAATTGAACTCCAAAATGCTGAGGGTCCTCAGCAGAGCGAGGCTTGCGCTTTACAAAGCACAAGCTCGCGTGGAGGACTGCAGTGCGGTTACTAATAACGCGGTCCGTAGCGCACACAACATGCTTAAATATTAAACAACTGACCAAAAATTAAAAAAAGCCTTTTTGTGTACAGGAAGGGCACCGCACTGACACCCGCGGACGTCCGCGCGACCCTGACGGGGCACGTGAGGTCCGCGGGGCTCGCTGTCCCGGGGCAGAGCGCCGTCCGCCTCGACCTCACGTTGGCCACAGTGTTGGGTCGGCAGCCCGGGGTATTGCTATTCGTTAACATTGAGCGTTCAAAAATTAGGTCCTTCAGTTGTCACCCTTCTATATCTGCACCCAGGTCGTAGCGTCTTTGTTGCATATACTGCAGAGGATGTGGACCGTTGCTCAAAACTGATGGATGACTTATATATGTGTAGCTTGTACTAAACGTTGCAACAATTTTAAAACTTTGTGTATTTACATTTCACTCTGTAGTGTTTAGTTAAATGATTCAGAAAAAAAGTATGTACTACTATGTATGTATGGACTTAACTAAAATTAATGACATACTTTAATGGCGCCAGGAACACCTAACGTGGGAGGAGCTGATGTCGGGTGTGCTGAAGAAAATGACTCCGAGTACTGAGATACAGTTCGCCGACGGAGAGCTGAGGCTGTCCAGGAGCCGCCTCGAGCCCGTCACCATGCAGGTCGTCAACCGCAGCGGAAACAAAAAGGTCAAGTCTACATCATTGCTCACCACCAGCCCTCGCCCCCAAGGCAGCAGCCACCTACCACTTAGGACTTTTTAAACTCGTACTTTTATTAAGACAAGCTCACAGCCCACATGGAGCAAAGTGGCTACCAAACCCTGTAAACTCCACCAAGTAAACGGCACCCCAAAGTTCGGTAACCCTGCTATCCTATTCTTAAACTCATATATTGTCACTTTTTGGTTAAACCTACTTGTGCAGCCAGTAAATGAATCCCATAATATTGAGGGTATATGTATCAACATATATTCTTATTAGCAATTTAAAAATTGCCATGATCATAAAATATTATTGTGTATCAAAATTTAATAAATGATACCAATATTTAGATATTAATTCAGAAAACCCTTCCAACCTGCGTCACGATGTTTAATAAGTTATCCCAGCGTCAAAGAACAAACAATATGTCGGTCAGCGACTTTATAGATTGACGTCAATGATATACTACGGTCTGCATCCTACAGGTGACTCTAGTGTCTAACCTGGAAGCATACGGATTCAACCTGTTGGAGCTGAGCGCAGTGTGTCAGCGAGGAGTGGCAGCCTCTTGCGGCGTCACGCGCTCTCCTGGCGCTAAACACGACCAGCTCATGCTGCAAGGAGACCAGGTACATACATCCTACCTACAATTGTTACATCCGTTTGTCTACTTCCATGATACCTACTATACTACTTTGGGTTAGAAAATCTTAAAAATTCAGAATGAATTTCCCAAATCATGAACTAAAGAATATATATATGCAATTTTTTGTATCATGCTAAATAGGCAATGAACCTGTTTTGGTTACTGGAAATCATAGACTTAACCCAAAACAGAACATCACAATCTCAATTTGTTTATGCCAACACTTGGTGAGATAGGCAGTTATAAAAACAGATGTTCTCTCAAAATTTAAGGAGATAAATAATCACTAACATTCATTATACAACATGTTACAAAATACCCTGTAAAAAATATAATTAATTATCAAAGCCAAAAATGTTGTCAACCCTAGCTGACATTTCAAGGAACCAGATTATTTAACAGAAAGGCCTACGTACCCATTTTACCTAATAATTGTCTATGTATGTACTTTCATAGTTTTTCTATTTTTTATTCATAAATATTTGCTACCTCAATACAAGGATGTCATTATCATTACTCAAGTACTTCTCGTACATGTCAAAAGTTTTCTCAAAGTTTTCCCATTCCGTGATTTAGGTAGGTAGAAATGTAGGTACATTCTGCATAGTTTAGTCTTTAATTTTACTGAAATAGGGGTTGCACATCAGTGAACATATATTTTTTTTGTGTTGCTACTGCGATTCTTAAATATTGGGAATGGACAGGTCATCAAGGCCCCATTTAATCTCCTTTCGGCTTTACGGGTAGTTTTGTGATGCCCTGTATACTTTGGACCACAAACAAATCATCCTTACCTTTTGTTATGCATTTGGTTATCTATTTTAGTACATTGGTAAACTATATTTTCTCTCTATCATTGTTTATCCTATCGTATCTATTTTGAAATCAATGCATATTACTTTCTTCTCTGATTATTTCAATTATTTTCCAGACACATTTTGTTGCTAAACTACTGATCGAAAAATATGGACTGCCAAAAAAATTTGTAGAAGGTGCTGACAAGGCATTAAACAGGAAGAAGTAGTCCTTCAAAAGGGCTATAATAGTGATAAATAAATAAATTGTGCAGTGAGTTATGTTTCAAATAAAACACTTGATTACTATGTTTAGTTCTATTATTTATTCCTATATTAAACTCTCCTACTGTATATAATTATTTCTCATAGAGTTTTAAAATATATATGGCAACACAAGTCATTTTTAAATCACAAATTTAAATGGAAGACAAAAGACTAAAAACTTACACAATAATAATATGGCCAGCCTAGGTTGAATATTATGTTCCCAAGTTCATATTACTATGCTTTGATTAGGCCTTACGCTTTACAAATTTATTATTATAGTTTTATAATCATATCTTTCATTTACTTATGCAAATATCCTATGTGATAATGTTCCTTAATTACTAACAACTCTATTTAATCCTTATATAAACTTATATGTATTGTTTAAACAATAACTCTCTTATAAATCTAAGATTAGGGTGGGTTTGTGTCCGTTTTAAGAAATATACAAATATTCTATCTTAATATGGTATATCATACCAAGAAAAGCACTGAAACATTACTAAATTATTAATATTGCTTATGAACTATAACCACAACCAAATTTAAAAGCTAAAAGACATTTAAAAATCTAATTTATTCATACATAATTTAGAGATCAAAATTATAATGCTCCAATGATGTAGTACTTAATATATACTATTACAAATAATTGCCAACTACTTATGATGTCTATAATTAAATGTTGTAATCACCTTCACCATAAAATATCAATTATATTACCAACTAAATTTTAGTTGTAGTTCTAAATTTAAACGGAGTTTTGAAGTTCAGTAATGACTTACGAGTTTTAGACTTCTTCAAATCAGGTTGTGTTGTTGGAGTTTGTGGGTATTGATTTGAGTTCCTATACTTATCTGATACACAACTCACACTCATAGAATCAACACTCCACTGATTGTGTACTGTAGAGAATCTTGAAGAGGTAGAGCACATTGAACTTAAACTAGTCTTGGATGGTGTTTTTTTAATGCTGTTAGTGACATGCATGTTATTGCTTAACATGTTCTTGGTCACTTTTGCCTGCTTCAAAGGAGAAGAGTGACTACAGTTCTTGGAAGCTCTCTTTTCTGTGCTTAATTTTATTGGATCCAAATACTTGAACTTTGTAATGTCTGTTGTTACTTTACTGTTGCCATAAGATTTGTCAGCATTCTCCAGCTCATAATAAGTCAGAGTAACACTCTCATCACTCTCCACAAATGGATTAGATGTAAAGTGAACATGCTTGTTAGATACATCTGGAAAGATGTTGCGTCGGGGCATATTATCTTTAGTGAACTTTGTACTGGTCACAATCATGCTGTTATCTCCTGTATCAGCAGACAGTGAGCTATCAAGGTCTTCATACCCATAGCTCTTCCTGCGCCCTCTTGAACGCACTGATGATGCCCGTCGGCGTCGCTGGCGAGGTCCAATATCCCTACTGTTATCTTTGAAGTGTGTTATCAGTGGAGGCAGAGTTATGCCATTACTGTTATCTTCAAACAGAAGTTCATTTGAGTTATTCAGTGGTATTATCTGAGTGCTTGGACTGTTGATAATTTCTTTGGCTATGATGTCTTTTTCTCTCTTATTAAGTGACTCCTCACGCTCACGCAGAGCCATCAGACGTGACATCCATTGCTGACTCAGTGTCTCTTCCGATATTTTCTGTGGGCAGTTGTAGGCTGTGATAGCTGAAGTAAATGGTTTTCTAATGCGAGGGACATATCCAGGGAGCTCCAAAGCCAATGCAGCAAGATTAGGTGAAAGAGAATTCCTATCAATATGTGTTTCCTGAATTTCGGAGCCAAAGTTATGTTTGATGTTGATGTTAGAATAAATCGGACTATCTGTTACATTGAACACAGTCCTAGGTAAAGGCTCTACAGCCCTGCCTAACTCTATGGCTTTTTCAGAGTCACATTTGTTTACTTCAGAGGATACTTGTGGAAATTCTTTTGACACCAATATCTGACCCATTTGTGTGGGATTAGGCAGAGTTCCTAAATTGGCCAGCACTGTGGGATGATATAGCACAACATCAGGTCGTAGAATGGAGTCCCTGTCTTCTATGAGGAAGCTTATGACGTCCCTAAGATCGTCACTATAATGAAATTCCTTTATCTTGTCACAGGCGTTAGGAGTGTAGCATATTGTGTGAATTAAATCGCCAACTTGGCGCATCACGTCTGAAGTAGAGCCTGTAGCGGTCAAATTGAAACAGTTGATGCGAAGTTCTCCATTTTCGCTCACAAAGACTGATTCTGGCGTTAGGCATTTCTGCAACACAACAGTGTTCACCTCTTCTACCGATTTATAAACTCGAGCCAACTCGTGCAGGAGACGCCAAATAAAGCTTTCCTCTATGTGCTTGTCTGTGGCCTTGCATTCCTCGATCAATTCTTGAACATTACGCCACGAATTATATTCAAGGACAAAGTACAACGTCTTGGATGGAGAATGCAGTATGGTATCGTAATATCGTATGAGGTTAGCGGATAACACTTGGCTTATAATTTTAACTTCGTTTACTACGTTTTGTATTTGTTCATCACTGAACGCGGAACAGTCGTACGCCTTCCACGCGAAAATGTTGTTGGTGACCTTGTGTCTCACTTTATAGAACGTACCGCCGCAGAAGACATCTAAAACTTGAAAATCCTTTAATTTTTCAGACATTCTCGAGAACTATTTGCCAGTTATAACTATTTCACACATTTTATTAACGGAACAAAGCAAAAAGACTTTTGAATTTGAACGACGGTTGGAGAACACTGAAATAGTGATGTCCAAGTTATCCTTTCAAATAAATCGACAAAATACGTTTCATTCAAATGTAACGGTTGAATAGAAGCATGTTGTTATGAACAAATATGCTTCTAGAACACTTGCTATCGGGGGGTTGATTTTCAACAAATTTTGTCGAGGCTTTTGAGCATTTCTCCATCATCCGATTGTGGTAGAAATACCCTCACTCTATTTGTTTTTTAAGAACTAATTATAAATCGTCCGTCGTTAATAATAACAAAGTATTATATTAATCTTAGATCTAAACATTTATTATCCAATAACTATTAACATTAGTAAAAAACTCAATTAAAAAAAAAATATACGAAAATCGCTGGAACACGGATGTTCTGGCGCTTGAGGGGGCTTTCCAACAAGGAAAATCGTCCGAAATTTTTGGAAAATATTTATACAAAACAAAAATATGAAGGTCAACTTTCTCTGAAGAAAAAAATCTTATTTTACGGTTCGTTTTATCAACAACATCTCAAATGAACGTATTAGGCTATAATTATTTTTCTTGTAGTATTTTTATTAATAACAATAATTTTTTTATTGCCTAGATGTGTGGACGAGCTCACAGCCCACCTGGTGTTAAGTGGTTACTGGAACCCATAGACATCTACAACGTAAATGCGCCACACACCTTGAAAATAACAAATTTTCATTTCAGAATTAAATTCCTTATGAAGTGATAGTAATACAAAATCTTTCTCAAAAAAAAACCAGTACATTTTATTTATTTTACATTGACCATGGCTGGTCTTGAGCTAACGTGGACTTCATTCCAGTGCCTCAGTATAGGGCAGCAATAGCGACTCCCTATCGCGGCCAGGAGGTTGTTCGGGCTGTCCCGGAGCCGGCACCACACGGAGGCCACACGCCTACGAATGATCGCGTAAAAGCCATCTATGTGAGCCTCCGCGAACATCGTCGACGCGCTACAGTACCGAGACAGCCCCAGCCCCCTGAAGCCGTTGTTATATTGGACGCGCAGGGCTCCAAACACCTTTTATTAAATTAAGTTGGAAAAGTACCTATGTCATATGAAGTAATTTCATTTCATTTATTCGCAACTCGCTTGACATCATTGCTTCTATAGAATGGTTGGCGTGTGGCTAGAAAAACAGAGTAGGAATAAGCAGGTAGGTAGTAATTCAAATTAGAAAATCGAGATGAAATAAAAGACTCCATTCTTTTGTTTTTTTTAGTACTTAGATGACGTATTGTTAGTCCGAATGAGTAGGTATGGTCGTCCTGCTTGTTGCTACTGCAACTGCAGGCATACCTTTGACGGGTTAAGCAGCTGCTATACAATAAATTAAAACTTTATCCTCGCATTTCGAGGTGGGTGTCAAACTTCACTTTATGATTTTTATGCTTCTCGATCACCGATTAAGTTCAGCTGAGCCCAGATATAGCCCACTAATGTTGTGGAAACAATAAATTTAATTTGAGATATTGTGCCAGCTTTTTTTATTACCCTTGTAGGCATACAGGCAGACGAGCATACGGCCCACCTGATGGTGAGTGGTTACCGTCACCCATGGATTTCAACAATACCAGGGGCAGAACTAAGCTTTATCATGCTACTAGCAGCAATCTAATTAGCATTGCATTGCAGTATTGAGTGGTTTTGATTTTTAACCAGTAATAGTAACAGTATAGTTTCATCAATCAAAATCGATATATGGTACAACACTATTTTCCGTTCAAAAATTAAACAAGCCCACTGACTTAAAAGTCTAAAAATCCAGGCCATTAACTAAATTAAAAAAACATCAACCGGAATTAAAAAATATGCTGTGAAATAATGATCTTTTGAACGAATTAAAGTCGAGTTAATCACTTTCGACGGAAAATGAAGTTAATGTTGTTCCTGATCACGTTTTAATTTACATTAAATTTCATTAGCTGACTGAATTTGACGATCTTTTGTGTGGGTCCCTGGATAGTTTAGATTTATAATCATATTACTGGATAGGTGATACAGCTATGAGATTTTAAGATTTTTTATTCTTTGTATGTATGACAGCCGAACCCCTTAATATTAGTGGAAATTCCCATGTATTTGAAAAAGTAGCATCTCTAAACAGAACAACAAGCCAAATGGACTTAAAATGACAGGTTGCTTTCCTGGGAATAGTGCGCTACCAACTTATTAAATCTATATCTCATTTGCTATAATTATATTGAAATTTAAATTATCAAGTTTATTAATCAATTAACTTAAAAATTTATTTGATTCATACATTTTAGCTGTTTGAAAGTTCTTCGTTCGAAAGTAAGCTCTAAAAAATAAAGTGTGCACTGACTCAAAATGTGCGTTATAATAAATTAATATGTGCGTCGAAAATCTCAATAAAGATTCTAGGGTTGGGAAGACAAAGTTAATATTTGGTAATTTTAAATTAGTTGCATTTTATTGGTTACTTGACTTTCAGCCTATCTCTTAATCTTTTAATTTTCGATTATAATCCGCAATAATTTTTTAGTATTTACTGCGCTCGTTGTAAGTTACTGGGAGCCTTAATGGTCCTTTTAGACTAACTTATCCCAATATTTTAAAGGGCCACAACATTAATTACTTGTCGTAATTGAGTACTTAGCATTAAAAACAAAACGAATTATAAAAATGGGAACGTTTTTATCGAGTCTACGATGTTGTAAATCATTCAAGCATTTACAGTACCAGATATTATGGACTATTCGGATTGCAATCTACGCTTGCTCACACAAAAGTCAAGATGAAAATAATGATTATCGACATGTTATGTCATAGATGCTTTGATTTCAATCTACTAGTTGGAAATGGACATACATTTTCCATAAAAAAAATAAAAAAAATCATCTTTGCCGAAACATAAATAATGATTTATAATGGGTTAATATCGAATTGTATCCGTAAATAGTCCACTCAAAAAGTCTCCGTAAATAGGTAACCATAATTTTACTGTTACCATATATTACATGACATATCTCCTCATTTCATTTAAACCTCAATTGATTAATGTCTCAAATTAATCAACTTCATTTCATTTTTCATGAAAGCGGATAGAAACAAAAGATTAGGCTGTATCATGGAATACTTGAGATTTGATACTTTCACCTTTCCAGTTGGAAAAATGAAACCTACTACTCGTCAATTCGTAGATTGTGAGTCGTTTTTATATACCCACTTGGTTTAAATGTATTCTAAAATTGTACTCTAAAATATATCATATTTGGAATAAGTAGAGGTTAAAATATTTTTATTCTATGTTGTGTTATTATAAATTTTGAAGGGAAAACAAAAAAACAGCAATAACAATTTAAAATATTTATTTAGTGAGTAGGTATAAGCGTGTACGCAGCACAGCTGACTAGCGGTTTTCAAATAACATATCACATAATTCTCAGCTTCATTCTCAATTTGAATATTCCTAAAATAAAGCCAATAAATACCGAACAGCACATCACCTAGTTACTGCATAAAATAAGTTACAAATGGCTTTATTTGATTTCTAAAAAATAAATACATTTTTAAAACCTCATTACTTTTAGTACAGTAAAACGATAATTGTCAAATCGTTACTTTTAAACTGGTATCTCGTATATTTAAAATAATATATTCTTTAAAAGCTTAATGTAATCAATAAGTGTTGTGCGAATATTTAGGTGTCTACACTCAACTCCTCTATTTAAATAGGTACCTAAATTATATTTACAATTTTTTGTTTACAAGAAACAATGACTAGAAACTGCATCTAGAAAAATTGGAACTGAAATTTTTGATGATCGCAAAAGGATGCATGTTAACAGTGGAATGAGTTGTCTTTGGTAACATGTTTGAACATTTATAATGTAACCATTTTGAATTACATACTTTGGAAACATCATGATTTATAAGAGAGTTCAGTATATACCTTAATACAAATTTATAAAATAATGCTAAAACATTGCCGATTGCACAATTGTAGCAGATATCAGAAACGTAAGACAAAGAAAAACACAATTACATTATGCAATCGTTATGTTAGTACAAATTTTATTATAGTAAATTATCTAATATCACTTGCTCCAATAAACACTCAACAATTGAAGCTCAAAATAAAACTATTACAATAAAACAATAACAAGTAAAATAATATTTAAAAACAATATGACAACCTAAAATTGACTAAAACAAAAATTCGGTTTAAAAAAAGAATGTTTTCAGCTGTCACAGGACCTCACTCATTGAGACCTAAGAATTAAGAGTTTATTGTGAATGGACACAATAAATTTCATTGGAATAGATAATTTTATGAACTGTAAATTGAAATAAATAATACAGAAAGCATATTTGCTGTTCTAAATACTGGAAATTAACTTAAATGAGATCATCAAAAGTCATCCATCCCCATCTCATGTCTGCTTTGTGACCATTGTGCTATAAAAAGCAAGGATATAATTTAATGAATATTATATAGTATCTTTAACTTAAATAACAGCATTCTTGCCGCTCAAGTGCAATGCAAGTGATAAAACTTCCATAAGGAAAGCAAAGCAATACCTTTGATTAATCTTGAAATTTGCAACATATAATTATATGCTTTTATTTCTTCTAGTGAAACTTTATCTGGATTAATTTATTGGCTTGTGACACGAACATCATATCACAAAACCCATTTTATGAATATTGTTTGAGAAGTGCTAGTGATATTTGGTGGCCTCAATAGGTTCATGACTGATACAAACATATCATCGGTAGACTTAGGAGAACGAATCGCGACGAAAACGGATTACCTTCAGTGATCCGTTTTATTTTGACAAATATAAATCTTAATACCTAAAATATTTAACACATTGAATGTTCAATCTCTAAAGTCGAAATTGAGTTAATATAAATTTCATTACTTGTAAGTAATGTAATTTATACCTTAATTTAATTCATAATTTACCACTTTAGATTTATTTCAGTTTTATAATGTATCAGTTTATATTTATAACACAAGTGAATCAGACTTTTCAACATCGGTCCAAAATTTTTATGATACAATAATTATTTTTGTACGTACACAAACAATTTCTGTAATGAGAAAGCTCTTGGTTATAATTAAATTTTGTTGTATTAATGAGTAAGAGCCACTTATTGTGTAAAAATGTACGAACACTTTGTTAAGTTACACAAGAGTACACAGTGGCTGGGATGGGCATTTCTCACATTTAATTCAGAAACCGATTGTTGTACATGAGTAGTTAGAGGCTTAGTCCCGCCTACCGCACCCCGGCGGTCCCAAGGCGGGGGGCGGGGCGGGGTGCGGGGGGCCGCGGTGCGGCGCGGGGCTCGGCGCGAGAGGGCCGCCCCGACCGCCGCGCCCGCCCGCCGCCCCCCGCCCCCGCAGTGCTCTCCGGCTCCGGTTCCCTGCGAACTGCAACTGCGGACGGAGCGTTCTGAGGAAGAATTTTTTTTTTTACGTTCATTACATTGAGAAATTTATATTTAATTAAATTCTCATTAAAATTGTTTTTTTTAAACACATGTTTAATAATTAACGTATCTTCTTAATTATTCGCGGGCAAATAAATATACCTAGGTAAATAAAATATATTTAAATTAAATAATATAAATGTTAACAAATATATTTACTAGATAACACAAAACATTAGATTATACAGATTAGATGTTGATTTATTGTAGTCGTCCGCCGCTGCGAAAACCGCAGTGTTCCAAACGTCTACAATACGTATAAACGCAGTAAGGTGGGGCAGCCGCTACACAGCCGATTAGTGGGCGGTATGTACGAACCTGCGGCGGCACGTAGAGGCGCGTGGTGGGCGGCAGCGGCAGGGGGGCGAGCGCCAGCAGCGCGCGCGGGGGGGCGCGGGGGCGGGCGCGGGGCCGCTCGAGCAGCGGCTCCAGGGGCGCGGGGGGGGCGAGGTCCCACACGTCGCGGTCGTCGTCGTAGCGCGCCCGCAGCGCGGCGGGGCGGCCGGCCAGCGGCACGAAGCTGTCGGCGAGCAGCAGGCGGCGGCGCAGCGCCCCCACCAGCGCGGCCTGCAGCGCCTCCCGCTCGCGCCGCTCCGCGTCGTGCGCCTCGCGCTGCTCCACCATCTCCTCGCGCAGCCCCGCGTACTTCGACAGGCACTTCTTCAACCTGCGACAACCCACGCCGCGTGNCGCCCGCAGCGCGGCGGGGCGGCCGGCCAGCGGCACGAAGCTGTCGGCGAGCAGCAGGCGGCGGCGCAGCGCCCCCACCAGCGCGGCCTGCAGCGCCTCCCGCTCGCGCCGCTCCGCGTCGTGCGCCTCGCGCTGCTCCACCATCTCCTCGCGCAGCCCCGCGTACTTCGACAGGCACTTCTTCAACCTGCGACAACCCACGCCGCGTGTACTCACCCGACAATATATTCGCAGAGTTACATTTTAACTACATACAAAAAAAGAATGTATCGCAGTCGGATCAGTTATTTCAAATAGTTTCTTATTGAATGTTTTTGTAAATATGCTTAAGTAGAAACATGCCGGTTGCAGAAGCGCTTCGGGTGGACCGATATAATTTGACGGAGAGTTGAGAAATAAAGAAGTAAAGATTGCCGCGCCCAGTAAGTCGGCTGTGGGGGCGGCGAGCGGTCCACTGACCTCTGCGTCTTGTGGTCGACCTCTTGCTGCAGGGTCGCGAACGTGTTGGTGACGATGGCGGCGGTCTCCTCCTCCAGCTCTATCTTCTGCTGCATCTCCACCTCTCTGTTCTTCCTCTCCGCGATCTCGAGGTTCCTCTGCTCTAGTATAATTTGGCTCTCGTTGAGGTTGTTGATGAGGTCCTTCCCCGCACCGCCCTGCACGAGCCGGTCCTCCAGCGATCGAATCTGTTGCTCCAATTCTTCAGTCTTTACTTTTTCTTGTTCTATCGTAGATTCCGCTAGAATGTTCTCGTTCTCTATACTGAGCGTGTCGTCTTCCGCTGCTGAAATAATAATTGTAATAAATACGGCATGTGTAAAGATGGCAGACTCTTTTTAACGTCAGCTGTTCCCGCGCTTGCGTTGTTTGGCAGTCAGTCAGTTAGGGTTAATGTAGAATGTCAATAAAACAGCGGTGACAGAAATGAAGAACTATAAAGTTATAAAATTTAACATCAACATTGACATCTAAAACGTAAATGCCACCACCACCACCGGCGCTGCTACCTGCCCGTGTGGACTAACGAGACGTCCTGCTACCAGTATTTACGCAAATTATATCATTAATAATAATTTTGCGGGTTTTGATTTTTATTACACGATGTTATTCCTTCACCATGGGAGTCAATCGTGAACATTTGTTAAGTACGTATTTCATTAGAAAAATTGGTACCCACCTGCGGGATTCGAACACCGGTGCTATCGCTAGATACGAATGCACCGGACGTCTTATCCTTTAGGCCACGACGACTTATAAGACGGTGAAGGAAACATTAGAACGCGGGGGCTCCAGTCCTGGCGGTCCGTGCTGGAGGCCTGTCGGCCGGTGTTCGGACTCCTCGTGGATTGGGTTAAACGTGACCGAGGGCGTCTTACCTTCTGGTTGTCGCAAATGCACGGGCCCGCGGGTGCTCCGGCCGATACCTGCACCGCGGCGCCCGATGGGAACAAATAGAATGCCACCCCTGTGCCTGCGACGAGGAACAGATAGTCGGCGCCGCACTTACCGTTGTCGGGGTGCGGCCTGGCGGGGCGCGGCTTCCTGGGCCGCTTCTCGATGAGCTTCCTCTGCTCGATGAGCGCGCGGAGTCGCTCGATCTCGGCCTGGTACTCGCGCAGCTTGGCGTCCTTCGGGTCCTCGTTGCGGACGGGCTTGTTCTTTATCGCTGAAATTGGTGCAGTCCAGTGTCATGTTAGGGTCCTCAGCTCCGAGGGTAACGGTTACAAAATTTGTTCGGCTATATACGAGGCCGTCAGCGCAAAAGTGGCCTAACCCACAATTTATCATAATCATGCTTATAATTATGTATATTGCAATTTATTTAAAAATAGTATATTTTGATGCAAAACCGGCCCAACCATAGTTTCACCCATAGATAACAGATGACTTTGTAAACATTTTTGCGCGTATTGTTTTTATGCCTACTCAAATTCAAATTCATGAAAACTTAAACTTAATTGCTCCATAATAATTATGGTAAGCTTAGGCCACTTTTGCGCTGACGGCCTCATATAAGAGAAAATAAGTAATTTAACTGCATTCGTCTATTTGTTTTTTTGGAAATTATAGATAATATTGAATAGGATAAGTCTCGGTACCTTTGGCGCGGTGCGCGTACCGCAGCGTGGTGACGGTCTCGTCGTAGTTGTAGGAGGCGGGCCCGATGTTCGCGATCATTATGGTCTTGCTGTTGCCGCCCAGCGAGTCCTGCAGAATCCGAGTCAGCTTCGAGTCCCTGCGCACACACAGATACTTCAATATTCTGTACCTTCCACACAATCACCGAGTCGACCGTTCATGAAAAACGACATTTAATTGCAGGGATGCGTACCTGTACGGCACGTGGGGGCTGTTCTCTGCGAGCGCGGAGATGACGTTTCCTAGGGAGGAGAGGGCCTGGTTGATGCGGGAAGCCTCGCGCAGTCTGTCCGCGGAGGCGCCCGTTTTGGACTGCCGCTCGCTTCCCGCCAGGTCCACGAGGTTCAACTTGCCCACGCTGAAAATATTCAAATATCTGTTATTGGAACTGAACTTGTTATTTATCTGGTCGGGTTGTTATGACCCGCTACCCGCCAAATCAATGTCTTTCTTGATGTCCACTTCAAGGGACATGAGCGAACTCGTTCTTGTCTCGAGCGTGTGAAAGCGTCGCCGAAAATTCTAGCTCGGGACTATTAAGCATGAAATTATCATATATGTCTTCAAATGTCTAAGCTTCCCGTGTGCGATGTTGATGTTTCGATTAACTAAATAGACAGAGGCGCGTCTGTATTTTGTAGTTGTTTGTGTAAATCATTACAATATGTCCTGTAGCAGTACTTGAAGTGAACCATTTTCAAGAAAGTCTTTTCAAGTAAGTTCACCGGTCATGTAGTCTTCATTACAGAAATCGGTACCTGCTTAATGGATTACAGGACCCATATTCGGACCCGTGTTTGGGCTTTATTGGTGTTGAGATTGTGAATCTTGTTTCTGTATTCATGCCTGTTTCATCTAGCAATCTAATTCTTTTCAGAATCAGTTTCGAACATTTGCTTTATGTTGACGGTGGGTTTTTAGATTAAATACGATCATTTCATAAAAAAATAAAACAGTGTTGTTGAGTGTGTGTGGCAGGTTAGTTTAAATTAAAATTTAATTGTGCATCTGATCTGCAACAGCTGTCCCTTCATTTAGTTTAGTGGTTAAATCAAATTTTACAATAAATTTGTTAATTCAAACTACTGTTGGTATGTCATATCGTTCCGATGTCGTGCCGAAACTAGGATCATGGATAAATCGTTTCCCCTTTAAAAAAAAATTAGAGCGCAAGCAGTGTATATTGAAAGGCCTTTGATGGAATGGAATCCCTGCCCACCGTTTCTTTGATTGAGCCCATAAAGAGGGTTGAGGATTCATTTTTAAAATATGCCTTATACCTTTTACGGGTATATTATTGACCTGGCTGAAAAACATCTTAATTAAAAAGCTTATTTGCGTTTCACGATACTTTTGATCATTGCATCTGAACCATGTAACAATTGATCGTATATAGTTCATTAATCGGTTCTTCTCGCCTTTAGTCTAGGCGCCCCTCGACGTCCCTTACGTATATACATATATGCCTTCCGGCGCAATATATCTAAACTATCGGAGTACTAGACTCGTCCATCGCCTCGCGCCGCCGCGCTGGCAGTTGCGTTCCTATTAAACGTTTCCTCCTTGTGTTCCGTTCTCACACTTATTGCTATGAGAAACCAAAACTATGCATTATATTTCTATAACGATGTTTTGAACATAATTCTGATGATAGATTTTTAATACAGAAACATTTTAACATTCAATGTAAAACACATTTATTTTTATAAAATTGAAAGACAAATCGATATGGAAATTATAATACCAAGGATTTGGCCTTTATTTATTTATTTTAATGGGTATTTCATAAAACAAAGACAGAGGTTCTTGAGAATAAACAGCTTTAGAATATTATATGACCTGTGTATTATAATGTATTTATTTCATTGTTTTCAAATGCAAACCTTCATAATTATGCATTGTATTTAGTTTCCGTTCTTATTATTCTATTCTATAATCGTACCCGCTACGTGATTTTATGAGTGATTTTTGGAAGAAATAATCTATTTTCATCACAACAATGTTTTTAATTAATCACCCGATTGGATATAAAACTAAAAAAAATGTATACGTGATTAGTTTAAAGAAACCAGAGATTACACCGCAAAAGTTGTTTTAATTATACTATAAATAAGTACCCAAGCAAACCGATAATAAAGTAATCGAGTTAAAACTCAAATCTCAAATATATAGCTGCGTTTTGTTTTGTTGAAGTGAAACTTCTTTATCGGCGTTGGAAAAAAATTTACCGTCACATTTTTCGGTTACGCGTCACATTTTTCCGTTACGCGCCATCTTTTTCTTCACCATTCATTGTTGCCGTACACAAGTGAAGGTGCCTCTTTACTCGGTAACAATAATTATAAAATACCGATGATTTTAAGTGGAGATTTTAATGTAAATTTTGCATCGGAAAATTCTTTGAAGCTAGTTGAATTTCTGAAAGATAAATTGAATTTATCCATGAAAAACAGTCCTCAAACGTCAACAACAAGATCTGGCACTACAATTGATGGAGTTTTTACTCGGTCACTAAATTTCGTGGAATGTAAACCATATATTTCATATTTCAGTTACCATAAGCCATTAATTACAAAAATATATAATGACAATGACAATGATAGTAATAATTCTATTACAATTAATGAAATGCTGTAATAATCTTAGTAGCAAAAAGGTAAAGTGAAATAATTGTATTATTTGTATTCATGTCTATGATAATAAAATCCTTTTGTTTAAACTTTATCTAATTTAACTTTATTTAACCAATTTCTAGAAAGTTGCATGTAGATCATTTTTCGAAAAATAAGGCCATAAACAAGTTTCACTTCTTACGTGTGTACACTAGTACACGCACACATTTTTTTTTAATCTATTTCGAATAATTTTTGTTGTATGTTTGACACTAAATGTTAGCCCCTTTATTTCACAATTTCAAATCACATCAAATTCGGTTCTGCCACTGCGGATGAGGTGACCGTGATACACAAAAATCTTTACTATTTGATTCGATGTAATATTTGAACACAGACAGATAACCGTTTTAAAGAAAGTGACAATTAAGAGTTACAGTCGTAAGATTTATTTAATAAACCAATAATTGTAGCCTCATAATAAAATCTCTCATGTTACTTTCTTGGGTTTATATGTCTATAAAATGTAAGAACTGATTAGTTGCCATGTGCGACGTACTATCGATCAATTGGGCATGTTCTTCCCAGTCGACATACAAATTTGATATTTGTAGGATTGACGTTGTGAGTTCTAAAAAAATCCCAATCTAAGGTATTAGTACTAAAAACCAAAATTTAGAACAATTTTTTTTATTGCTCACGGCCCACCTGATGTTAAGTGGTTACCGGAGCCCATAGACATCTACAAAGTAAATGCCCCCATCTACCACCTTGAGACATGAGTTCTAAGGTCTCAGTTTTTACAGTACAACGGCTGCTCCACCCTTCAAACCGAAACGCATTACTGCTTCACGGCAGAAATAGGTAGGGTGGTGGTACCTACCCACGCGGACTCACAATACGTCCTACCACCAGTATTGTGTTATCAAACAATGAATCTGCTTGAAATGTCCGTGAGCTGAAAGTAATGCAAAACATGTGACGTACCCACTCGCAGCGAATCATGCGACTATCCCCCGACTCGTAAATGCGACGGGCTTATGATCTACGATTAATACATTAACTTATTGACTGATGATGGAGTGTAAAATGAGTCTACACGGTTGTCTGACAGCTACAGATTGGCCTAACGTCACAAGGAGGACGACTCCTTCCTGTTGCGGTATCTGTGGGCCGTGAGCACTCGACGGTGGTCCGTGAGCTCCTCGATGTAGATAAAGTAATAATAATATTGCTTTTTTATGAATATCACATTTGGCTACCTGAACTAGGTACAGAACTAGAATTGATATTGTCCAATCCGCAAATATATGAAATAATTTCATATAAACATTGAATGTATCATAAATTAATATAAAATCCAGGCGAAATCAACGTGTATTTAATAACGTGCTTGTTGCCCATGAATGAAGGTCGCGATCATAATAATATTTGATCAACTGATAATAAATTTCAAATTACTGATTGATTTTTCAAGTTAAAAATTGTTTGAATTCGCATTATACTAGGCCGATTTATCTCGTGTAACCAAAGTATTTTTTAAAAATCTCAGGCTCAAGATTCCTTTGGTTTTTTATAAATATTTCGGATAAAGTCATATCATTGGCACAATCATTACAAGTTGCAAATGTTAATCTGTTATAAATAGGCAAAGTGAAAACGATTTCTCTGTTTGTCAGCCTATATTTTTTACTTCTTTTTTTGTTTAGTAGACATTGAAAAGGTTTTATTGTTATCATTAAAGCATTTATGGAAATAATCGTTTTTTTTCCTTCAAAATGTCAACACGATAATAAAATAAAACAAAGTGTACAGAAAATAAATCGAAATCTTACGGAATTATGGTTGGTTACATTTCGATCGTTTTCCGCACACTAATTTAAAATAATATTGTTGTAACCTTTTGTTTTTTTGTCATTTAAATAATAAAACCATCATATGTGAGCTCAAAATGAGCATATCAAGATCAAGTGAAGGTTATGTGTACTGAGTACATACAACCTTCCAACCTAAAGTGTATATTGAGTTGTGTCAGTTTTACTTGTAACTTATTTTCTGGAATGTATCCATTATACGAAAAAACAATGATTCAAAATCTAAAATGACTCCTAAACATAACATTGTTCTCGGAAAACTGATACAACACGTTCCTGAAATCACGTTTAGCATGAATAAGACGTGTTCAATTGCACACAATTGCGCACACCGGCCAACGTACTAAATCCTCATTTTCACACTGTAGTCAATAAAATATTTCAATAATTTCGTTACTCTTAATATCTTTAAGGATTTAAATTCTTAGAAGCTGAAAATCCTACCGAAAGATATTTTGCAACCGATAAATGTCGCAAGACGTAGGCTTGGACAAAGTCTATCTTTCAATTTCAATTTCAAATTTAAATAAAACAGTTTAATCACATTTAAAATGAATAAATACCATTTCAGGGAAGATTTCTTTCCGCGTCTCAAATGGAAATTTAAAATATACATATTTGTCTCATCCTTTCACAACGCTCTATTTTATTTCGGCACGTTTTCCTGCAGTTTATCCCTTTACAGAGAAAATACTTGAAGATTTGGATAGGTAATTTAATCTAATGGGCGATTGCCATTTTCTTCTTAGACCTTCATCGCGTTACTGATTTGAGCTTTCTGTTTATTTAGTACGACGGTTGTAAACGATAACAATAGCACGTTGCGTAGTTACGCACGCATTGATGCATGGGTCTGCTTGCGTCGATGTGTA